CAGTTTCTAATCTCGCAAAACTTGAAAAACTTGTCGAAGATGCTCAACATGTTGTTTGTTGTTCAAACTATACACCAGTATATCATCAAAGTAAACAACCAGAAACTTACCTATAAAAGGTCGAAATATCTAGTTCATAAGGTGCATGAATGTGCTTGGGGCATTGGATAGGCCGAAGGGCATGACAAGCCATTCATACAATCCGTCTCTTGTCTTGAAGGCTGTCTTCCATTCTTCTCCCGATTTGATTCTTATCTGGTGATATCCATTTCTCAAGTCAATTTTCGAAAACACCTGAGAGCGACTCAACAAATCCAACGTATCATCAAGGCACGAATGGGAAACCGATATTTTATTGTGATTTTGTTTATCGCCCTATTGTTCGTACACATTCTCTATGTTCCATTAGTCTTTGGGGTCAAAAAGGCAAGGACATCACAAGGACTCAAGCTCTCTTAAATCAATCCCTTCTCAAGTAACTTCATGACTTGCCTCTATAGCTGTCAGTGTTCATTAGGGCTCGTCTGATAAATTAGATCCTGAAATGAGATTGATTTGGTGTTATATGTCTCTCATAGGTGGTAATCCAGCAGATAGCTCATCTGGTATCACATCAGAGAAATCTTGTAACAAAGACATGATTTCAGGTGGAAGAGAGATCCCAACATTCTCCTTTCTGATCACCAAAGCATGTACGGATGCACCTTTTTCAATTTCTTCCATGAATTCTGCCATGGTGAGGTAGATTATTCTCATATTCTGTTTGACTATATGCGGTTCTTTTGAAGGCCCCAAAATTACCTTCACTCCATCTTTTTGAAAGCATCATCAATAGCCTTTCGGTCATATTGCCAAGACATTCCTAACAAAAGATGGCAAGCATCCATTGGTACGATATCGCACTAAACTTCATCTTGATATACTTTCCCAATAGAAAATGAGACTAGACATCACTTATCAACATGCACCTAATTCCCTTTTTGGAACCAAGTGAGCTTGTAAGGAACCAGATGCTTTTCTGTCTTTAGTTTAAGCTTGTCGACCATATCTTGATATACAACATTCTCGCAACTACCACCATCAGTTATCACATTGCAAATCTTCCCATTGGTGGTGCACTTATTGCGAAAAATGTTATGACGTAACCAGTAATCGTTGTCGACACGTGCAGTAGTCGTGCTTCGTTGTACAACCAAAGTTTCTCCATGGTTACTCCAGGTGATGTCCTCATCATCTTCTTTATATTCATCATAGACAAGAGGTGTCTCATCCACTTTGGAATCACCCAAAAACAATTGCCCCTCAACAAGGTTGACAAAACTTTGATTTGGACAATCTGTTTGCTTGTGTCCAAAACCAAAGCACTTGAAACATTTAGGCAATCGTTGGGTTGCTGCAGTATGCTTTACGGCACTACTACTGGCACCGTCTTTGCTACCACTTACTTTATCAAAGGCCTTGGGATTTAACTTTGCATTTGCCTTTGTTGATTCGAAAGATTGCTCATTCCGATTAGCATTAAACCTACCAACTCTGGTTGTTCGATTGCCCTTCTGCTTCAATTGCTTCTCTACCTTTTTGACTAGTTGGTAGACATCATCATAAGACCAATAAGGTTGCAGGCAAACGACATCATGGATTTCTCTACACAGTCCTCCCAAATAACGAGCTATTGTCTGCTCTTCAGGCTCATCCATACCACATCGAACCATTTATAAATCAAACTCTTCGGTATAGTCATCTACTAATTTTCTACCTTGCTAGAAATTATTCAATTTGGAGTACCACTCCTGGATGTAGTTCTCAAGTTGGAATTTCTTCCTTAACTCATTCTTCATTTTTTCCCATGTGCTAATTCGAGATTTTCCCATCCTTTCTCTTCGTACCTTCAATTGCTCTCAGCAAGCTGATGCATACTTGGTCAACTTAATGGCCACAACCTTTCCCTTTCGGTGATCAGGGATGTCTTTGTAATCAAAGATCATCTCAATAGTGTTCAACCAATTTATGAATTCGTCGGGCTTAATCCTCCCTTCAAATTCAGGGATATCAACCTTCATATTGATATCATTGAACCTATCAGTGGGCTACCCGAAGGGATTGATATCATCCTCTGAGAGAAGTTCATCATCTTGATGGCTTCGGGTTTCAAAGTGCTCTAATCGCTCTGCTAATTGCTGCACTTGTCTTCTCAAATCCTCATTCTCGATATCACGAGTTTCGTGTCCTGGACCACATCCACTGCAACGACTACTTCGCACCATCGGTTTACAGAAAGGTTAACAGCAGCGGTCCCAAGGAGTTGCTCTGGTACCACTTGATGCAGGTCAGGTTATCCTACAGAGAATAGGAAATGAAAGCAGCTAGCAATAAAGCAATTGGAAGCAAATAAAGTTCTTTGATTAATAAACTCATAGAGTTATATTGTCTTATCTCCAAAAATTGAATACATCTCCTGCTTCCAGCAAACTTATAGGGAAGAAAATAAGACATAACATTACAATAAAGGCATAAAACAAGTCTCTAGGCATAACTTAATAACCACCAGTTCCCAAACTATTGAATAATTAATCTTGAAACTTGATGGGTCTTTTAATGTATCTTCTTGGTCTGTCTTTTGCAATGTTATGCGACCATTCAAATGGTCCATCATCAAATATATTTGACTCATTCCTTGTTTGTTGTAAAAAAGACATTAAAAAGTAAGAAGTCAAATGACTCAGCTGCCACATCATTTATGGCAGCCCCATTGGAGAACATATGAATGTCTTTTAATCATATGTAGCTTATTTAACATCGAGATCTTACTTTCTAGCTGTTTTTTTTTTCAACAAACAAAGAAGGAGTCAAATACATTTAACTCAACTTTTTTTTGCATGGATCTTGTCACATCCCCGCCCAGGCCCCTACCACATCCTGGGTTCAACTCTACCGTAGCACGATATTGTCCGCTTTGGGCGCCGACCATGCCCTCACGATTTTGTTTCTGGGAACTCACGCGAGAGCATTCCCAGGATGGGTATTGTAACATCCCACATCGCCCAGGGGAGTGGATTCTGTAAGCCTTATATGTATATTCCCATCTCTACCTAGCACGAGGCCTTTTGGGAGCTCACTGGCTTTGGGTTCCATTGGAACTCCAAAGTTAAGCAAGTTCGTGCGAGAGCATTCCCAAGATAGGTGACTTATTGGGAAGTTCTCGTGTGAGTTCCCAGAAACAAAATCGTGAGAGCGTGGTCGGGGCCCAAAGCGGATAATATTGTGCTACGATAGAGTCGAGCCGGGGATGTGAAAATTTGGTATCAGAGCTAATCACTGCCCGGAAGTGTGTAGACGAGGACGTCAGGCCCCTAAGGGGGGTGGATTGTAACATCTTACATCGCCCAAGGGAGTAGATCCTGTAAGCATTATATGTATATTCTCATCTCTACCTAGCACGAGGCCTTTTAGGAGCTCACAGGCTTCGGGTTCCATTGGAACTCCAAATTTAAGCGAGTTCATGCAAGAGCATTCCTAGGATGGGTGACTCACTGCGAAATTCTCGTGTGAGTTCCCAAAAACAAAACTGTGAGGTCGTGGTCGGGGCTCAAAGCAGACAATATCGTGCTACGGTGGAGTCGAGCACGGGATATGGTGGGGGCCCGGGCTGGGATGGGACATATCTCATTGACAACCAATAGAATAAAAACTAAAATCAATTTTAATTATTTTTTAATAGTTAATGTAATTACGGTCCAAATATAATAACAAAATAAATATTTGATACATCCATTAGGGAAAAAAAAATTTAACATTTGTATTCAACTAGCCACACCAACCATTAAATGAAATATATATATATATATGGCTTTTTAGCAAAAATATTTCCTGAGATTTGCATAGCTCCTCACTTTGGTCACTGAGATTTGAAATCGATATAATTGGTCTCTGAGTCTACCATCAATCATTGTGGTCATTCGGTGAAAAATTATGTTAAATAAGAATAAAAAAAATAAAACTACCCTCAATTTGATAAACAATATGCCAAAATGATTTGACAAAATTGAGGGTATATTTGTCATTTAATTCTTATTTTATGGAGATTTTTTACAGAATGACAAAAATGATTGCTTGTGAACAAACTTAGGAACTAATTCTATCAATTTCAAATCTCAAAAACCAAAGAGAGAATTTATGCAAATCTCAATAACCATTTTGACTAAACAACCTCTATATGCCACGCCCTCAAATTAGTTCGTTTTTATATCAAATAAATAAATTAATAAGTCACTAAATAGGTAAGCAAAGCAAATCATTTTGATGTGTGACGTTGGTGGTGTCCGCATGAGCAATGGTTTTGTCGACTTTGGATGTCGGCATAGAAAAACAAGTGAGGGGAAAAACAAAAATGTTCCATTCGAATCAACTATACAAAGTTTGTTGGGTATTGTCTTCTTTTTACTTCAATGTCCTATTTTTCTTTCACCTGCACACAATCATGCACATAAATATTTCGAACAGATTCTATTTTCGGACAAAAAGATATTTGCACTTCAATTGCAATTTCTTTACAGTCATAGAAAGTGAAATGGCTAAATAAAGAGTGTTAGAGCTCATTTGTGAAATACTTTTATACGAAACACTTTTCCACCCATAAGTTTGTGCTTGAATTGTAAATATATAAAATTTTCTTGTTAAAAAATACGATGACTTTTTGATAAAAAAAAGGATAAATTACATTTTATCATCTCAAGTTTATGTGCAATTGCAACCTTATATAATATCTTTAAAACATTTCAATTTTATACACAAACTTATATTTTGTTGCAATTTCATACGTTCATTAATCAAACTGTCAATTTAATTAAGTGATGATGTGGTAAATAAATCACTCACATATTTTAATGACATGTTATATAACAAAAATGTTTAATTATAAAAAAATATTCAAATACGAAATAAAATCAAAACAAAGTAAAACTGGGCCCTCCCCCCCCCCTTCTTCCACCCGAGCATTGGGCCTCCATCCCCTCCTTCTTTCTTCATCACCGCCACCCTCCATCCCCTCCTTTCTCCATCACCGCCACCCATCCAATGTCAGTCCTCCCCCTCCCAATCCCTAAAACCCCCATTCTCTAATTTTGCCAATTTCTTCTGATTCTTCTTCTTATCCCTAAAACAAAGTAAAAAGGTGCCCATCGGCCCCATCCGCTCTTATCCCTGACCCTGAGCGTACGGCCTCCATCTCCATCTCCTCCTCCTTTCTCCATACAACAACCGTGTTCATCCCAAATCTCCTTAAAAATTGCTGATTCTTCTCCTTCCCAAATTTCTGATTCTTAAATTTAAATATTAATTTAATATTTTTTATGATTCTTCTGCTTCCCAAATCACCTTAAAAAAATTCTCTCTAGGCCTTTGACCTGAGGTGACTTGTTTCAGAGAGAGCCCAACGTGTTTAGGCTGCATCTGATAAACTCAAAGTCGTAAGGTATTGCTTCAGAAACCCGAAACTGTATGGCTCGATATAAATTATTTTCCTTCGCCAGTTTTTGTATTTTTTTTTTCATATTGTATACACGATTTATCTCTAGCTCTGTCCAATCCCAACAAAAATGCTCCCATTGATCCTCATTTGATTTGCTACTTTGACGATTTTCACAGCAGATTTCAAATTTTCAAACAATTTTTTGTATTTTGGCTTGTGATTCTTGGGCTTCGAGGTCAATGTTCATGTGATTCAGGAGTTGAATTCGTCGTCTGCAATCATCAATTTGGGATTTGGGGCTTTCTGGATATGCAGCTGGAGAAGGAGGCAGTTTCTCTGCCCTCCCACCACTTCTGGTCTCCCCTCTTGTTCTGTGTTGTTACGGTTAAGTTACGTCAACATTTTATATTACTATTTCTTTTTGTTTTATTATCTCTATAAAAAAATATAAAATATTAACATGGTTTAACCCAAAATTTGATGTGAAATTTAATTATCACTCAAATGAAAACCCTATGATTGTAGTATATGAAAGTAGGAATCGTTTTAGGCCGGAGATTAGAAGGGCTGCTAATTAACACAAATAAGATTAAAAAATACTAAACTAGACTCTATAAACTTAAAACTGACTTAAATGACTCAAAACAGCAACAAACAATAAAAAAGACTCAATTCTAGACCTAACAAATGATTTGGACGAAATAAAACTTATCTTGACTCAAAAGACTAAAAGAAAATAGATTATGACTCAACTAACTCAAAACACACTAAAAAGACTCAAAACAGCACAATACTAGTGATTAGACTCAAAACAGACTCTAGAGAGTTATTTGGACGAAAATAAGACTAATAAGACTCAAAACACTAAATTGGACAGTTTAAACACTTTTCCTAACTAATCTAAGACACTTAATTAAAATGGGGATTGATTTGGACGAAATTTAACTAAACTAAACAGATTGCAAAGCAAAGTAAATTAGGTGAATTGAATGGTGAAAACTTAGCCAGATGATCATTCTCCACACATAACATATGCATATAAACCAATTTCTAGTATTGTTCCCTTAGACTATGAATGACAACATCCCAAGTTAACCATGACAACACAAATTAACCATTATATTTTCCTTATTTCATTGAATTGGACGGGATAGGCATCACAACCAAATTATCCTTATCAAGTTCCCTAACTATGAAAAGCATGATAGAAAACATATCAAAGGTCATTAAGTTCTTTGAAAATCATAAGCATTGATGCGTCATTCGTAACTATGAAAAGCATGATACTCCTGCCAAGGATTTACTTAACACAATCGTGACTAGTAACCTCCACTACTTGTGAATATAAGTTCATAACGATTAGGTGAAACTCCCTTATACTCTAACATCAAATTCATGCATACAAATTAAGTATGCATCCTCAATTAACATACATGAACAAGTTTTAATAACTCAGATAAGCAAATCACATTCAAGACTTTAGAAACAATAACTGGATGTAATCAATTCATATAAAGCATATAATCATGGCTTCGAATTCACCACCAACTATAAAAAAATTAGTTCCTCATGTTCGCAATTAAACAAATATATCTTAAATTAAACATTGAAAACAAAGATAGAATACACCTAGAAACGCTCCAACACTCCAATGTCTTGAATGGCAAGCACGGCTCCAAGTGGCTTCTTCTTCTCCTTCCTTGCACAACTGCGGCACAATGGGGATTTTCTGAATTTAGGCTCTTGTATGTGTGGTGGATGGGGTAGAAAAATATGGTAGAGGGTGGGTTGATTACCTTCAGTTATTGTTTCGTAAAACATGAATGTGATTTACTTATCTGTTTGATTGATAACTTATTCTTGTGTGTTGATTAAGGATGCATACTTAGTTTGCATACATGAATCTGATACTAAATTATAAGAGACTTTCACCTAATCGTTAGGAACTTATAATTAAAAGTAGTGAAGGTTGCTAGTCACAATCGTGTTAAATAGATTCTTGGTTGGAGTATCATGCAGTTCATAGTTATGATAGCCTTGTCAATACTTATGATTTCCATGGAATTTAATGATCTTTGAATGTATCTCTATCATGCTGTTCATATAGGGAACTTGAGAAGAATAATTTGGTTGCAATGCGTTGTCCATTAAATTCAATGAATTTAGGGACATCTGAGAGTTAATTAGTGCATTCACAATTGATTTGGGGCATTGTCATTCATGATTTAAGGAAACAATACTGGAAATTGATTTATTTTGCATATGTTTATGTGTGGAGAATGACCCTCTAACTAGCCTATTTCACCATTCAATTCACCCAATTTCATATCTAGTTTGATTTAGTTTTGCAATCTGTTCAATTTAATTAATTTTGTCCAAATCAATCCCCATTTAATTAAGTGTCTTAGATTAGTTAGAAAAGTGTTATAATCTATTCAATTTAGTGTTTTAAGTCTTCATAGTCTTAAATTCGTCCAAATAACTCTATAGAGTCTGTTTTGAATCTATTTGATAGTATTGTGCTGTTTTGAATAATTTGAGTCAGTTTTGAGTCTTAAGTGTTTAGTTTTGTGTTTCTAAGTCTAATTTTGTGTTTCTAAGTCTAGTTTTGTGTTTTTGAGTCATATTTGTGTTGATTAGCAGCCCTAGTTAATTCCTGGTCTAGAACGATCTCTACTTGCTTAATACTACAATTACATGTTTAATAGGGTTTTGATGCGAAAATTAACTTAACACACAAATTAAACCCTCTTGTTGACAATTGTAGTATGGATAAGTAGAGATCGTTCTAGACCGGGGATTAGGAGAGATTGCTAATCTACTCTAAACTGACTTAGAAACACACAAATAAACATAAAAACACTTAATAAGACTCACAAGACTCAAAACAAACTTAAAAGACTCAAAACTGCCTAAAAACAACACTAAGGCAGTTTCTGCTACTAACACAAGTTTTGGACGAAAATTGATTATATCTTGACTCAAAACACTTAAAAAACACAATCTAAAATAAGTTCTAACTAATATGACTCAATATAGTAAAGGGGATTTTGGTTTTGGACGAAAATAAGGAAAACAAAGCAAGAATTAAAACTAAACAGATTTGCACGAAATTTGTTGAATTAGATGGATGATGGGCTAGCTAGAGGGTTCTTCTCTACACATGACACTTGCATTCAAATTGATTTCCAATTGCTTCTCTCAATAAGTCATGAAACTCAATACTCCAGGTTAACTGTGACAACACTTTTTTAACCTTCAAGTTCTCCTTAAGTTAATGAATTTGATGGGAAAGCACATACAACAATTCAAAGCATTCTCTAAAAGTCCCCTACGTGAAAAGCACAATAAAGGTACAATCAAAGATCATTAAGTTTTATGAAAACTATAAGCATTGACAAGGCAATTGTAACTATGAAAAACATGAAACTTTTGCCAAGAATTCACTTAACATGATCGTTTATAAGCGACCTTCACTACTTGCAAATATAAGTTTGTAACTATTAGGTGAAACTCCCTTATATTTTAGCTTCAAATCCTTGCATGAAAACTAAGTGTGCACTCTTAATAAACATACAAGAATAAGTTATCAATCAAACGGTTAAGTAAATTGCATTCACAACTTATGAAATAACAACTTAAGGTAATTAATTCATAATGCAAATATAATCATGGTTTTGAATAGCCCCTTAGCCAAGAAGGGCTTAGTTCCTCATGTTCACAAAACAAAGATACATAAAGTTAGACATTGAACACAAAGAATGAAAACACCTAGAAATGCTCCAACAATCCAACGTCTTGAATGTCAAGCACATCCAAGGGTCTCCTTCCTTCTTCTTTGTTGCGGCACAAGGGATGGGTGAAGATTTTTTGTGGTGATTTGTGGTGGTGGATGGATATAGGTTGGTTATGGTGAAGGGTGGAGTCGTTTAGAATGGTCTGAAAAGGGTTTTATTTATAGGGAAATGAAGGGCTACGAATTTATTAAATTTGAAATTAGAAATCAATGGAAAATAGGCAAGAAAGGTGCAGGAATTAAAAAGAATAGGAAAGGGAAATTCGGCAGAAATTGTAGGACATATTTTAGGAATGTGTTTTGGGTCAGAAAATAGGCAAGAAAGGATATAAGGTGCGGCATAGGTTAAGGGAGAAAGGGAAAGGAGATTAGGGACACAAAATAGGGAAGAAAACAATCCCCTTGCACGACAAGGCATTGGACAAAAACAGGAATGTGTTTAATTGCAGGAACTAGGAAAACAAGAAAGGGAAACAAGGAAGGTAAAGTAGGAAAATAGGAAGGTGGGTGTGGCAAAGATTAGGGATAGGTCTAGGTCTTCTAGAAGCATTTATTTAGTGTCCTAAAATATTTAGGAAGCCTCCTTGCAGCTGGAACATAGGTGAATTAGGATTACGAAAGTTTAGAGCCAAAGATGGAAACCTTCACAAATGGAAACCTCCAAGAATAGAAACTTCCAACTTTAGAAACTTTGGCTTCCAATTCTGAACTCTTTGTTCTTCATTTCTTTCATCTCATTATTCATTCCTAGCCTCCTTTGGTCTTCAATTTCGTCCATTCACTTGGCTCCAAGCATGTGTTATCCATTCCATGCCCAAAAATGCTTCAAAAGGCTCCAAAATGCACTTCTTTACCACATTAACCTTTTGGACCTACAAACACACGAAAATAGCTTAAAATACTAAAATAACTACGAACTAACAATATAAATGCCAAAGGGCTTTGAGGATCCTCATAAGCTAGATAGGGAGTACAAACTGAGGAAAGCTTTCTACGGTCTTAAACAAGCCCCACGTGCTTAGTATGATAGATTATCTTCCCATCTTCTTACTCATGGTTATATTCGTGGCTCTGTTGATAAAACTTTGTTTGTTAAGAAGATTAAATCTTATGATGTGATTGCTCCAGTGTATGGGGATGACATAGTTGTTGGGTTTTCTTCTGATTCTCTTGTGAAACAATTTATTGATATGATGACAAGTGAATTTGAGATGAGCTTGGTTGGTGAATTAGATTACTTCCTTGGACTTCAAGTGAAACAAGAAAAGGATGACATCTTCATTTCTCAAACAAAGTATGCCAAGAACTTGGTGAAGAAGTTTGGCCTCGAAGGTTCAAAAGTTGCTAAATCTCCCATGAGCACATGTAACAAAATTCACAAAGACTCTAGTGGCAAGGATGTTGATCAGACTCTATAGATAAGTATGATTGGCAGCTTACTCTACCTAACTTCTAGTCGACCAGACATCACATTTTCTGTTGGGGTATGTGCACGGTTTCAAAGCTGCCCCAAATAGTCTCACTTACAAGCAGTTAAGAAGGTTATCAAGTATGTTAATATTTAGTATATGATTATGGATTTTAGGGGAAATTTACACTTTTTTCGATTTCCGTACGGGTTAGTAAACATGTATCAATTTAATGGGAGCTTAACCTATGGATACAAAAACAAAAAATACATTTCAAGAACTCCACTAGTTTTGAAGCATTTCGAAGAGAGACAAAAGTCGAAACCACAACAAATCTAGCTAAAAAATAATCAAATCAAATTTTAAAATTTCAATCGTGCCCTTAATAGACTTGTCCAAAACTACACCACTCATAAAAACGTCAATTGACTTTAGATTTGTCAAAATTAATTTTTGCAAGATCAATTTTATAATGTTTTTGCACATTTGCCAGAATAGTTTCACAATACATGCACTTCTGCAAGATTAGTTTAAAAATTCTAGCAATTCTACAAGATCAGTTTCAAAATTCATGCATCCAAATTATCAAACCTCAAAATCAAATACTTTAAGATAATACTAGAATAAAAGCTAAAATAATTCTCATAAAAAAAAACTCATAAATCTAGGTAACAATATGAAGAAGAAGAGAATGAGAGAGAGAGGTCAGAAGGAGGAGAGAAAAAGCGAGACAAGTATTGAAGAGAAAAGAGGAGAAAGAGGGAAATAAGGAGATATAAACTCATCTTCAACCATAGAGGGGTAAAATTGTGAATGAAAAGGCAATTAAAATAACAACTCTAACATCACCTAACACATGGATAATGTTGGAACCAAATTCACGCACTGTTGAGGACGAAGGAGTTATGCAAGTCCGACCACATGTAAGAAAGCAAACAATCGTAGTCAGACTTTGAGTACTAGCAGGATATCGGCCAAAGGCTTTTCGTAGTCAAGTTAGTAAGCAATATTAAAACTAAAGTAGGGGGCAAGAGAATAAGCAAAGATTATGCATTATGCAAATGAAGTGCTTTATATGCGTTACCAGAGTTATGCCCTAGATGACAATATTTATAATAGTCGGGAGAGAGAGCTTTTAGGATATGAAATCCGTATTGAACTGGGACAATCCATGAGGATATCTAGGATTTGATATAGGAGTGGTTACTTATGGCCATGCCAATATCTAGATTGCAGGAATCTCTAAGAATATAGGAAACCGGTCTGATCCCCAGTCAGATTAGGTTATCGTGTCTTGCAGAACAAAAATAGTTAACTCAATGAAGTCAACTGACTTTGCTTACTTTTCTAGAGTACAACAGAATGTGGTGGCATCGTTGGTCCGTTTTGAGCAGCTTAATTTGATTGGAGTCGTTGAATTTATGACTCGACGTCTAAGGTGCACATATTCCGATCCGCTCTACTTTGGCCCTTCAAAATTCATGGTCTAGTAAATACCCCTAACTATAGGATGTACACCTAAAGGCATTCTGAGCATCTCTATGAAAGCGAATATGCTGATTTCCCAGTAGAAAGCTAAAAGCCTCTCCCAGAAGTAACTGGAGAGTTTTCTCGTATATAATCATGTTGTCATTCGTGGGAAAAGCCATGAGATCTAGTATATGAAAACTAAAGCCGTCGTCGAGCTTTGCTCGAATGTGTATTAGATGACCGATCTTCTGACCAGGTTTTCTTCCTTTGATCCCCGCTTGCTCGTGCATTACGCTCCTCATTAAGGTCTGTTGTGCGTACACGATTGGCATATGAAGTCAATCACTAAACCGATAACTAATTTCAAATACTTGGCTTGAATCCTTTGGTTAGCTTCTTCATCCTCTTCTCCTTAGAGAGAAGCTAAAAGAAGTGTTATAGTCTAGTGAAGCGGGCCATATACTTCACAACTGTATTAGTGCCCTACTCGATAGTAGCGTACTCCGCCTTGAGCTCATTTCGAAATGATTATGGGAAATCTTGCTTGTAAAATGTAGTATGAAAACGCTCCCAAGTAATGGATCTCACAGCTGCTAGTAAAGAACGAGTAATCTACCACTACTAATATGCTTTACTTGTCAATATATACACAACAAGGTCCACCTACTCCTCAGATAAACAACACAAAACAGTGAAAATTCTAGCAATCTAGTTGATTGAAGACTCAGCTGCCCGTAAATCAGTAGTACCATCAAATGAAGGTGGCTTATGAATGTGGAACTCTCCATACAAAGACTTCCCTTTAGGAGAAGTTGCACAAACATGGGCCTGCATAAGCTATGACAAATCCTCAATGGCCCGGAAAGCCCCATCGGGTTTATCATAATCATGCCTAGCCTCCTAATCAGTACCAGAAGCTTTGTCATCGTTAGGAACATCATCCCCAATCGGCTGGGTTGCACCGTGTAAAGTCGTCTTCATATGTTTGAAGAATGAAAAAATTCAATGTAAGCAAATAAATAAAACTCGAGTCAACTCATGCCAGGTCTAGCTACCTATGACCTACCAAAGGCTTCCTTATTCTAATAAAAAGGTATAAGAATTCAATACCTAAGCTTTGATACCACTAAAAGTTGTCATACCCTGATCCCGACATATGTCTAGGATCGACACATGACGCTCGATTGTAGGGGGTGTGAGGAATACATACAAGCTACCCAAATACAAACTGAGATAGAAATTCATAATAAAAGTAAAGTGGTGGGGTCTTTATCATAATATACAACAATTGTACAACAAATGCAATCACTAGGGTAATATGCTCGCAACCTCTCAAAAAAGAAAATCCAAAAAAAGTACGAGGAAAGATATAGGGGTAACCTAAGTATTCCAAGCTCTCTAACCTCTAATTGCTACCCCAAAATCTCCTCGCATCTACTCAGACCTGTCTCATGTACAATCACCCCCTACACTATGGGAATGGTGCACCGGGCAAAGTAACAACAAGGATAAGCTGCGAAACTCGTATGATTGACAATAATCTGATGTATATGAGAACCATAAAACAAGTCCATAGATCACAGTTTACAAACATCAATCATAAAATCATATTTTATAAAACCATAAACAATCCGCTGACAATCCCGAAAGAATAACACATACATCCATCAGCCTTTCTAACTCAAACCACAAAGGTTCTTAATCTATAGTTCATAAAAGCACAGAGAACTAGGGCTAGAGGGATGCAGTTCGACTAAAGCATACTACTCTTAAGCTTCCACATTCTAGACCGACTTCAAGGAACAAACGGACCAACAAAGACAAAGGATGCGATTACAGACCACTTAACAAAATCTTACACAGATCAGGTTCCGGACTATTTAGCGAAATTCGACAAAGACAAAGGATGCGATGTCGGGCTATTGCCACACGTCACCGTAAGCCACTATTGGCCGACCACGAGCCGCCTTATGCCATCACTTGTTCTGCTAAGCGTGGGATAGTCTTGATGGGAATCTCAGAGTTTATACCTGAGGGTCCTAACAAAATATTCCTCTTCCTTCAACCTTCCTCCGTCATCGGTTGTGTGGACAGCAGCAGTCGGAATCTGGCAATTTTCGCTGGAATTTCTGAGAATTTTCAAATGCTTATAATTGTATCATTTTTCAACTAAATTTGACGATTCATATACCAAAATGAAGCTAGAGAAGGATAGAACACATTTATACCTATTTGAAGTCCAAAAATTGGCTGGAAACTATCTGAAATAGATGGGAAACTCTTGGCCCATTTTGAAGCTCACGGTTCCTTAGTTAGGTTGTTCACGAAACAAACCCCATAACTGGGTTTGTGGGGACAAGATTAGCACGATGTGATGTTTGTTCATTGATAAAACGTTTAGAAATGAAGGTGGTGTGGTGTGTTTTTCCACGGTAGAAAGGGAGAGAGTTCAACAGATTTTGAGAGAATTTGAGAGAAGATATATGAGAGTGACCGAGAGAAAATGAGAAAGAGTGTTCAAGTTGTTTTTTGGGAGTAGGCCATACGTGGCTCACAATTTAAGATAAAAAAAGGATAACCACATGTGCCAAATAAATGGTAAATTACCAAAATGTCATTGATGTTCCAAGACTTGAGAATCTTCGTTCTAGCTTCGAATTACATTCCGCTTGCGCCTATGTATTCATATCGACATGTACTAACCAAATATGCCAAGAAATGTGGCAAAATATGGAAGGATCAAATACGTCCATGTAAAACTCTATCTAGCCCAACATAGGCATTTTCGTCATTTAGCATATTTCAATAAATGATACACTGAAAATAAAAATGCGTCGTGGCAACAAAGAGATACGAAATAGAAAATCTAAATAGTGAATGAATTTCACAGCAAGTATGTCTTCTAGTTTCTTAAACTGTGAGAGGATAAAATTCGGTTTTGACTCCTAGGCCAATATCAATCATCCAAAGAGATGATGTTGCATAAGATAAGCCTATGATGGGTAAACTAACGAGAAAAGTCCACCAAAAACATGATAACCATGTGTGTGCCATGACTCTTCATTCGCATGTAGCAAGGAAAACGTGTCTGACATTGCACGAGGAACCACTAAGGAAGAAGGAGCGAAAGACATATCATTGTACTTGTTCTCTAAGTGTCAGAATCTTAAAAATAGGGAAACAAGTCAAAGAACAAGGTACGCAATCAAAACCCTTGGTTAAAGAACATGAATTTAATTGACTGACTTGAGCGTTGGAGTACCTTTTGCAGGTACCCCCACCTAAACGAAGTTTTAGAGAAAGCCTGTTCGAGGATGCCTCTGACGAGGGACTCGGCGAACATGTGGATTACGATCAACGAACCTGTGGAGGTATTTCTTCATGTAGGAAATTTCGCACAAACAGTTGGCGCCGTCTATGGGTAATCTCTCACAAAATCAAGTTACAAACATTACTAGATCCACACAAGAAGTTCTAAATCATTCTGGAGACGCAGGCACTCGATCAAGACACTCAAGGTCTCAATCCCAAAATTATGAACCCGGTCTCGCCATGGAACAATTTAGAAAGCTAATGGAGGAATTGCGTGAAACAAAATAGAAAGTAGAAGAACCTTTGAAGAAGGCTAAAGCGAAAAATGTAAATGAGGACATGATCGGGACCAAGAGACAACATGCAGAAGAAGAAGATAAGGATGGTAGCTCGAGTAGCTCGCCATCCAGCAATCGTGTTGAGGCACCAAAAAATCGAAGCGACGTTGATCATAAGGAAAAATGATCTAAGAAGGTAAACATGTTGATCTGCAAGAGTAAATTGAAAAATAATGAAAGGATATAAGCCATAAACCTCGACAGAAATTGCCTTGGAAATGGTCATCGCCATTCACAAAGGACATTCTGAAAGCTAAGATATCTGCTAAGTTCACCCAACCGAAGTTCAAGTTGTTTGAAGGTATGATCGACCTAGTTGAGAACACTTACCACTTATAACAGTAGATATGCTTGAAGAAACGATGAGGCCCTCCTATGCAAGTTATTCCCCTCAAGCATTTAGGGATCATCTTCAATTTGGTTCAGACAACTGAAACCGAAGTCTATATGTAGTTTCATGTAGCTTTGTGAAGCATTTATATCTTAATACGCCTACAATTGGAAGCCAAGAAAAGATGTTACGATCTTGTTCAACACCAAACAAAATGTTGGCAAAAGCCTTAAAAGCTACATGACAAGGTTCATGGAAGAAATGTCCACCCTAGAAAAATGTGATTCTCACACTGCGCCTTTGGCATTTTGAGATGGGGTGTTACCCGGAAAGAAGATGCATAGGTCATTAATCGAAACTCTACCCCTAGAATGAGGAAGGTGATGGCTCGAGCCGATGGAAACATTAGATTAGAGGAAGAAGAACTTATCCAGTCAAAGTGGGCCACCATCATTATTGCTACACCCCAGGTGAGTACTACTATGCCTATCTTGAAACCCACGACACAACCGAGGTAAGAAGGAAGATTTTCATGTGATTTGAAAGATGGTTTTGTTGATAGACCCATACCTAATTGCCCATACACCAAGCTCATGATGGGTTTGGCCAAAATCTTCTATAAGAATAAGGGAAGGGAATCTTTATGCACTACAATCGAGTGCTACTAGAGAAGTAAGACATGAACAAGATGTGTGCTCTTCACAACGACTTTGGCCATACCACTAGCGATTGTCGAAGCCTGAGGAACCAAGTGGAAGCCATGCTGAAGAAGAGGATATTGTCACAGTATCGCTTAAAATTGAGAGATGAACGTAAAAACAACGAATGACTTAAAGTAATAATAGGAAACATTAGAGTAGATGAGGGGCTATTGAATATGAATGCTATACATGGCGGACCCTAATCCCCAAAAGGACGTACGGTACGCTCTTGGTAGTAAAGGTAAAAAGCCGAGAAGTCTAGGCGAGTGCACAACATAACATCAACCCCTAAAATGTCTACAGCACTAGAGAATCCGGGGTTATCTCCTTTAGCTAAAAAGACCTTGAAAGGATTCGATTCCCTCACAATGACATATTGGTTGTGACCCTACACGTTGCCAATTAAATAGTGAAAATGGTAATGATTGACGGGAGGAGTAGTATAGTTCATTCTGGAACACCATTAGGAGGATGAAATTTGACAAGAAAGAGATAAGCTAAATCCAACCCCCATCTATTAGTTTGAAGGAACTAAAGCCCGACCCATTAGAGATGTGATTCTTCCCGTCACTACAGCAGGTAGGACTATTTTCATCATTTTCATCGTTATCGATGCACCGAGTGTGTATAACGCTATTATGGGAAGGGATTGGATCCATCAAATGGATAAGGAAACATCAACTAGATGTCAAGTGATGAGGTGTTTATCAACCGACGGGCAAACGACAATAGACATCAAAGGGGATCAGTTGGAGGCTCGAAAGTGCTACAACATGGCAATGGGCATCAAGGCAGCAATGAAAGCAGATCAAATCACAAGTTCGCATAAGAATAAACCTATAGCAATTAGTAGAGGGCTCACCACTACAGGAATAAGAAAGTGACGATCAAGAACCTCTGACTATAGAACCATTGAAGGCAGAGATTTTGGATCCAACCGATCTTGAGAAATGAATATGACAAGGATTGACCCAGAGGTGGCATGTCATTGGCTTAATGTTGATTTGAGTTATCCTGCACACCAACAAAAGTAGAGGAGATTAACGTTAAAGCAAAATCAAATTATCAGCGTAGGAGTTGATAAACTCCTTGAAGTTGGATTCATTCGTGATGTTTGGTGCCTAACTTGGGTTTCAAACGTCATGGTAGTGGGAAAGAAAGATAAGGGAAAATGGCGTGTGTGTGTAGACTACACTAATCTAAATAGGACATGCTTGAAAGGCTGTTTTCCAATTCCAAAAATTGACCAGACAGTGGATGCTATGACTGAGTATGCACTCTTGTCTTTCTTAGATGCTTATTCCAGTTATAACCAAATTCATATGGTAGTTATAGATAAAGAAAAAACTACTTTTATCACTGAGCATGGATTATATTGCTACACGGTAATGTCTTTCAGACTCAAGAACACTGGCTCAACTTATCAGACGCTAGTGAACAAGATGTTTAAAAATCAGATTGGAAATACAATGGAGGTCTAGATCGATGATATGGTCGTCAAAAGCAGCAAAAGTACCAACATATGGATCATTTACACAACACATTCAATGTAGTGAGAAGATATCGCATGCTGCATAACCTGGCAAAGTGTGCATTCGATGTATCTTTTAGGCTGTTCTTAAGGCACATAGTGAACAATCGAGGAATTGAACCAAATCTAGGGAAAGTTGAAGCCTTGTGAAACATGTCAGATCCAGTAATGTCTAGAGACATTCAAGTGTTAACTAGGCAAATCGTGGCCCTTAGCCGTTTCATCTCATGATCATCAAACCAATGCAAACCTTTCTTTTAAGCCATTCTAAACATGAAAGGAGATGTGTAGGGGCATAAGCAAAGGGAGGCTTTCGAACAGTTGAAGAAGTATCTCACAAGCCCGTTGGTGTTGACTATTCCAAAGAAAGAGGAGCCGTTGTGCTTATACCTAGCCATAAACGAAGGAGCAGAAGGTCCGGCTCAACGACCCATATTTTATGTGAGCAAAAGTTTAATTAATGTAGCAAAGAGGTATTCAACCATTGAGAAATTGGTGTTGGCCTTAGTAATCGACCGATGATGGCTATTTTATCCAAACCATACTTATTAGGAAGAATTACTAAATGGGTCATCGAACTTAGTTCTTTTGGCATAAAATACCGACCTCAGACTGTAGCCAAAGGTTAGGTACCTTGTAGAGTGCTATCCTTGTGAAAGTTTACAGGGTGAGTGCGAGGAAATTACAAAAGTTAACCTAGAGAAACTAAGTGGGAGCTATATGTGGATGGCTTATCCAATCAAGTAGGAGTGGGGGCATGGATCATTTTAATTTCTCATGAAGGGATAGACCTGGAGTGTTCAATTCGGTTGGATTTTCTGGCATTTAACAATGTGGCAGAACATGAGGCCATGATATTGGGCCTTGAACTCGCGAAACAATTAAAGATAAGCCGCATCATCATGCACAGTGATTCGCAACTCATTATCGGCCAAACAACACAAGAGTACGCAACTAAAGATGCTAAGATGGAGACATATCAATAGTTGGTAAAAAGGCTGGCGAATGGATTCAAGTATTTCGAACTGAAGCAGATACCTAGGGAGATGAACGAAAGGGCGGACCACCTAGCATGCACTCTGTCTGTAACGCAAGAAAACCTAAGGGTAACTAAAGTGGAGTGTTTATACTCTCTGAGTATTGGAACTGTGGAACCAGATGTGATGTAGATAGATGAGCAAAAGTCAAGACTTGGCAAACCGTTGCTAAAGCAAGCTCAAGTTGAAGATGAGGACTGTTGGGTGTCGCCGATCATAAACTATATAAAGAAAGGAATCCAGCTAGAAGATTCAGTAA